AAAATTCTCAAATTCAAGGCTGAGGAATTGGGTCGTCCTCCTTGGTTTGCCCATAAGGAAAATGAGAACCTAGACTTCAAAGTAAATGCTCTTCTTTTATTTCATTGGTGTCACATGTGCTTCACAGAACTCTCTTCTCGAAGGAGAAGCAGGCAGTGCACGCACATACCTGGTGCGTCTGTGGGACGCCCTCTGCTTTTTCCACGTCGAAGACGTTTAGACCCAGGGGGGGAGAGGAACGAATCAGAAACTGGTGTCGAGAAGAAAAGCCAATGCACTGTACAGAAAGCACAACTTCCAGGACCAGCCGTGAAAGTCTGAGGAGAAAGACGGGCGAGCTATGTACCATAGAGGAGGGGACCGAGAGCCCCTCAAATGTCCTGCCCAGGTATCACGGGAGCCACCAGGAAGCCTCCATCTGTTAGGTGCTGGCAGACTCTTGGAGGAACAGCGGGTGAGAACTGTGTCTGAGGTCAGCCACAGAAGGAAGACCCCAGGATTATGCCTTCAAAAGCAAGCCCACACCCCTGCCTGAGAGTACCCGAGGGAATCCTATGTGTTAGACTTCGAGGTTGATGATACAATGAATAAATTAGCAAAACATTATTTCAACATCTCATAATGATTTAATAAATCTTATTGACACAAAACCGTCATTCATTTAATAACATGTGGAATTCATTTCAGCCACTAGATATTAATTTTAAAATCACATTGGATTGAAATAAGCAGATAAGGTCCAGATGTGGGACTTTCTATAGGATAATGATACAATAGGAAAACTATTCTAGAGAGCATTAAGAAAAAAGAGAATCTCAAAACTTGGAAATAGAAACTGATGACTTAATGCCCTATCCTGTCAACATCATGCTGGGGCACTTCCTAACACTCTGGGGCAATGCCCCTCTATTTCAGACTGTTTAAGATTAATTATTATATTTTATAATTCTCTGAGGGAACATGATTACATATACAGAATTGATAGTGATACAAACGATTCTTATCTGATAGCAGTTGATATCAATTTTGTCTGGTAGAGATGTAAATAATTAACCAGTTTTTTTAAACTTTAACTTAGCAGTTATTTTCCAATGCCTATATGTACTCAAGGTTTCTTTTTAACCAACTTAGCTATCCTGGCTGCTTCCTCCTTTAGTGAGTTAATGAAATATTTGCTACTTAGTTTCTTTATGTTTGTGGGAGACTCAAGTTTTACCTTTTTAAAAATTCTCCTTTGGACAGAGACTTGAAAAACATAACGTTAAATGCGGTAGGTGGACCTTATTTGGATCTCGTCCTCCAACCAATCGGTTGTAAAGACATTTTTGGGGAGATGGAGAACATTTATCAGATGGTCTAAGTATTAGATGCTATCGAGAAATAATTGTTAATTTTGTTAGATGTGAAGATGGCACTGTGGTACGTAGGACAATTATATACCTATGTTTACCCAGTCTTGTGTAACAAATTACTCCAAATCACTGTAGTATTTTACATTTAGGCTTTATTATTATTTAGGTATGGTAAGGTCAACAGATCAGGAGATGACTACCATTGAAGAGACTGCTTTACTCACACATCCCAAGCAAAAGGGGCATGCCATGCCACAGGTGGGCCACATAGGAAGCCCGAGCCAGTCCAGATGCAGAGAGAGTGAGGGGAAGTCGATAGCTTACTGGTTCAAGAATCTTGTAGAAACCAGCTACTTACTTTTCTACATGGACTCTGACCTGCCTTGCCAGGAATCCCTGCCCTGCACGCAAGACTCTTTACCCACTACAGCTGCATTCGAAGGCTGGGGGAGGGGTCAGCAACCAGCCCCATAAATGGTAAAAACGAACTGGAATAGGTTCTCGCTCAGGTATTATTTTGAGATGTTTTGAAACACACTAGCGCTCTTTCTGATTCTGATTCAAAATTTCTTTCTTTTTTTTTTAGCATCCCCCAAACCCCTGATTTTGATCCAGATGTTCTTTAGAGGAGCAGTTTCACGGAATACTTTTCCTGACCTTGCCTTCAAGGTAACGACGTTGCAGTGGAGTCAGCAGTTCAATTAAACTGCCTTTGCTCTGTTTGTTAATTCAGCTTGGGTTCATCTTGGTCCCTGGGATTTAGTTCTTTCTTTCATAACGAAAAATAAAACAACTTTGGACTGCTGAATCATAGCTCTTAAATTTATTAACGAACTCCATGAAATCCTCGTGTTCTCTTCTTACATTAAGAGTTTCTATAAATATGTAATTTTCAATCTTTTTTTTTTTTTTTTTTCTGGAGCCTGGGTGAAATATTAACTAGTGTGGTGAATTTTCCAAAGAAGTTTGGAACGAAAATTGGCGAAGCTGCAAAACTGTCATTTTGGGTGTTGCAAGCAGTTTTTGTGTTTTAGGATAGAAACAAGAATTTACGCATAGGACTGGTCCTCAGTTTTTTCTGGGTGATGACGCTCTGGTGATTTCTTTGAATTATTCAGATGTAAAAAGAAAAAACACACTTATCCACTATTTTGGAAATATCCAAAGGCGGTAAAATAATTTGGTTGCGAGTGTTTCAGAATGGGCTGTGAAGGGATGTGTGGGATATTAAATCTGTGTATTTCCAGCAGGACGACCTTTGCGGCGGGGGAGGACGGGACAGTCCCTGCCGTGGCGTGATGGTTCGGAAATGCATTTATTTGGCTAGGTTGACCTGTTCCCCCCAGAATTCCCTTTTCTTGCATCTTTCCAGTATGAACTACAAAGAATATTCTGTCCTGAAAGTTGTCCCTGCCCTCCATCTTGCTGAACCTGTACCATGAAATCATGGAAGGCTGACATTGACATGGCCTGTACCGAGTATCTAGTTCAAATTGAGTCTTAAACTTGGTCCATCATAAATGTCATCTGGGGAGGTTTTTTTGAAATACAGATCCCCCAATGCACCAGTGAAGTTTTTGGTTTGGTAGGTCTGAGCCTAGGACATATGAGGCTTATAAGTTCTCTTGGTGGTTTTGATGGTAGCCAAGTGAGTCTGCTAGTCACTGTGATTCTGGTCCAGTGGCTCTCCATGTGTGGTCCTTGGACTGGGAGCATCCGTGTCATCACCTGGAATCTCGCTGGACACGCAGCTTCCCGGGGTCCGCCCTGGACCAAGGCTCTGTGGTTGGGGTCCAGAATTCTGTGGCTTAAGAAGCCCTCCAGAGGACTCTGAGGCATACTAAAGTTTGAAACAAAAATCTTACCTAATCCTTCATTTTATCATTAAGGAAACTGAATCTGAAAAGAAGGGACATGTCTCGGGGTTAACGAAAATTGATGGGGATAGGAGGCAGCCACCCCATTGAGCCCCAGTGTTTTGAGAGGAGAATGCTCACAGCCTTTGTCTTGAGAAACTATCTGTGTGATTGCTATCCGTGTGAAAACAAGGCTCATCAACTGGGAGATGATGATACATGATCCCGGCCCCATAAGAATGTCCAGGCATGTAGAGAATCTTTAGGAGAGTTTATTTGAACCAAACTGATGACATATGTCGGGGAGCAAGGTCTCAAACGTTTCACAGAATAACAGTTTTGCAAGGTTTTTTCTTTCTTTTTTTTTTATGCATTTAAAATTCAGAAAGGAATGTAAAGAAGATTACTTGCAGGTGGAAGAAAGCAGGAAGCAGGGCCGGGATTGGATTACGAGATTATGTGGTCTCTTGAGGGTTAATACCCTAATCAAGGGGTATTACTCTGGCACCTCAAAGGTGTGTTAAGCTGGATACACAAGAACAATGCGCAGGGCTGCCTTCAAAGCGTTTACTGAAGAAGGTCTAGGCCTTGGCGACCACCCACCAAGACCTGCCGGGTAGGCATTTATGATCAGATCACCCGTGAGGTTATTTTCCATAAAACCCCTTTTTATCGTCCACAGAAGGATCTAAACTAATAAGTTTCTCCCACTGGGGCCCTAAGTTTTTTGATCGAATCCTTACGGCGTCAGAACGTTGCTCTTCCTTTTCCTGCTGTTGCTTTTCCTAATCACATTGCTTCTTGTTTTCTTTCTTAAGCTTCTGTAGCTAATTGAATTGACTATGTGGACAAAAAAGAAGCCACATGCTAAACCCGACAAGCTGAGGGGAGGCCCCTCGGGAGGACCTTACAAACTCAGAGATGGTAAGCAACCACACAGGATGATCTGGACGAAAAAATCCCCAACTGAAAAGGGGCCCTGGCGGTCGTCGAATCCTAGGTCTGTAGCTTTCCCGACAAAGGTCAATCTTTACCTTAAGGGAGCCTCTCTATTACCTTTTCGAACCTAAAATAACATCCTTTTGAAATGTCAGTGTGATTTTTTTCCCCCCAGACCCCTCAGGGGACTGCTGTTTGCAGAGCGCATTTGCAATGGAGCGCGCAGGAGACCACAGAGCTCGCCCCCCACATTCCAGCTCTACGGGCTGTAAAGTTAATTATTAACTCTTCTGTAAATGTAAAAAAACTATGTGTCTCCGTTTTGGTTTTATCCAATCCCACCCCCTTAAGCCATCACCAGCGGATTCCACGTAACCCTCCTCTGTCTCTTCCTTCCGCTCTAATGTATAAAATAAGCTGCAAAATCGCCATTCTCCGGAGCATTTTCTCACTCCTTTGAGATTTTGTGACTCTGACCTGGTCCTCAGTTTGGCTCAAAAAACAAAAACAAAAACAAAAACAAAAACCTCTTAGGAATTCCCTACAGGTTTAGGTAGTGGCTTAGCTCCAAAGTTATCACAACCTTAGTCAAGTGACGGGGCAAAATATGGAGCGGGAGAGGGCACGTATGAATACGTAATAATTTGTTTTTAAGAATCATAGCCTGACTTTGATTTGCAACAAGGAAGTTGCAGGTCTTAGGAGCCAGGCGAGCCTGTCCATGTCCCAGGCGGGCTGTCCGAGCCTCCTTCCCTCCTGCCTTCTCACCGCTCCATCCCTCCCCTGCCCCTCCCGCGTCCCTCCCTCCGTCCCTCCCTCCGTCCCTCCCTCAGGCCCCCACCGTCCCCAATGCTGAAAATCCCGCGCTGCCACTGGCCCGCTGGGATCCGCCGCCCTCCGTCACCGCGTCCACTTCCGTCCCGGAGGGAGGCACGCCCGCGGCTGGCCCGTGACGGTCGCCCTGGGACGCTCCGGCCTCACTCCCTCGCAGGGTGGACAGCGGTCTGCAGGCGGCTGAGCAGGTAGGTGCGCCTCCCCTGTGCACAACTCCCGCGGGCGTCCGCACCAGGCCAGGGGCTGTGCCATGTGCACAGGGACCGAGCCTGTCGAAGTCCACGTTTGAAACCCGACTTCCCAAAGCAGGACACTGTCCGTGGGGAAAGAGACCCCGCGCCGTGCCACCGCGGCGTAGCTTCCTGGACTGCTCAGCAGTACACGTTTTAAAACATAGTCGAAATCATAGTGTCTATGAACTTGTGTTCGTTGTTTGTTTTTTGTTTTTTTGGTTTTCCTTTTTCCCATTTAACATTGTCAGAAGCCTTCCCTTCCCGCCTCTAAATACTCTGTCGCTGGTTTCCTGCAGTTAACATTTTGGTTGTATAGTTTTTACTGCTACTATAAAATGATGGGGGAAAATGAGTATATTTGCATCGAGTTTTGGCAGTATTTTTTTTCTCAGGATGGTTGTTAAGAGAGGAGGTTCTGGGTCCAGGAGTGCGACGTCCTGGATGCTGGGCAGATACGGCGAAGGGAGACTGCACAGCACACACGCACGGCCACGCGCACAGCCAGGCAGAAGTGTCTGCCTTGCTCCGGCCTTGCTGACATTGGGCACTGCCATTTAGGTTTCTTGCTGACGGAAAATGCCACCTGTTGTTTTGAAAGCCCATTTAAAATAAGGTGGTTAGACGTGAGCCCTGTGTGTATCTGCGGAAACCCTATCTAGGCCTGGAACAGCCCAAGAAAAGGTCAAAGGCAGCCATGTGTTCGGGCGAGTGTGTGCTCATCACGTCTGGCTTTCTTATTAATGCTGTCGGGACCACGTGCCCCGTGGAAAACACAAGTGTGGTGCTGAAAAGTAAGTAATAGGAGGAGTTGAATCATAGAATCATCTAGAGAGAAGTAGGGCCCTGCCTTCGGCTGCAAGATTGAAATCGATTGCCAGGCACATTCCTGCAATGTTTATCCAGTAAAAGGAAAATACCGAGCCTTTGCTGGTAGCCGCCCCTTATCCCTAAGCGCTGCTTTTGTTGTGATTGCAAACAGTTCCCGTTTCTAAATCTCTGAAGCTTCCAGAAATATAGTCCCAGGCTTCTTTGCTTGTTACGCCAACCCTGTCTACACCGATCCCCTTCGCTCCTCGAAATCCGTGTTCTCTGTTTCTGCCGAAAATCCTTCTTGCGTTGGAAAGTCTGACTTCCAAGTTATTCACATCTTTGGGGTGTGAAAGCAGGAAAACCACACTTGCTGGACCACACCTTGCCACCTGTTCCTCGCCTTTGTGACTTCCGGCGAGAAAAAGGGAACACTGTTCAGTTAGGCTAAAAGACCATTTCCAGCGAAAGGTACAAGCGTGACTCTCACACAGATATAAAGATGAGCATGTGTTGAAGATTCTGTTTTATTCATTACCGAGGGAACCAGGCAGATGTTACCACTGGTTCAAAAAAGAAGCGAAGAAGCACAGATTGATACGGAGCAAAGAGGCGCCTCCTGAGGGGAAGCGCGAGGCCCCTGCAGCCTCGTGGGGTTTGCAGGTCAGCCACGCAGCAGCCGTCCCCATGGGTCTTGACTTGCAATTTCGTGGAGGCGCTTGCTGTGTGAAGCAGGGCTGGAGAACGTTCTAGGAAACAAGTATTCATTCGCGACTTGTTATAAGGAGCGGGCGGGCAGACCGTTTTTAGGACCCGCGTGACAGGTGTAGGGGGCCACTGCCCTGGGGTTCTGCGGTAGAGAGACAGAGCTCACCTCCAAGGACGAGAAGAGGAAGCGGGAACTTACAGAGTAGGGGTCAGCGGATGGAAAATTACTAAGAGGAGGCATCAGGGACAGGAATCCCGCTAAACCAACCTCACAGGATCTTGGCAGAAGACAAGCCAGGGCTATCAGACCTCACCTGGGGGATGGCGGAGAGCGTGCAACCGGATCAGGGATGGGGAGTGGGGGCATCGGCTAAACCGACTTAGCAGGATTCTCACTAATACTAGCTGAGAGTCACGGGGGTTTGGTCAAGGACACATACTCTGAGGGACCGTGAAGGTCAGTCTGTAGGGGGTGGGCCTCCTGATCATTCGCACGTGTGTGGCGTCTTGCGTGAAAGTTATGGGGGAGTCATGTGCGTTCGTCCCGCATTTAACGCGACGTTGCCAAAAATCGTGCCCATCACGGCATCCTCTGCAGGAGCATGTCTTGACCGTCCCTGGTGTCACAAAGAGGACCCTGACTTCCAGAGGCTTCACCAGTGGAGACCACGGATCTGATCTCAGGGTGGCCAGAATGCGTGTCCAGGCCCTCCTGCCATACTGAGAGGCCATTCTGGACACATTTCACGAGGACCCCATCATGCACATCGGCCCACGGCCCCGCCTGCTTCTAAGAGGAAACCTTACCACTCACAGCAGATGGCCCTATAGTGTCACATAGAAGAAACCGTCTTAGTGGCAAAATCCATCGTCCACAGCCCACACTTCCGGGCTGTCTGATTCCAGCACTGTTCATTGTATCTGAGGTATTGTGCAGCTTTTTGAAAGTCGAGGGCAATTGACAGATTTGTCAATTCTGTCCTGTCTGGTAGAGAATTAATTGGCTTCCTCCCACCGGTGGAAGAATCTGTCTGTCTCCACTTGCAATTCAGCTCGATATTCCTTTCCGCCACAACCATTTGTGGCTTTTTCTTTTTTCCTTCGAACCAGTTACATTTGTCTCATGCTTATCGTACGAGTAAAAAAAAAAAAAACAAAAAAAAAACCCCTCAACCTGTTCACTTTTATGGCTGTGTGAGAGGCACGGTTTTACTTTTCTTCTGAAAATTATCTTCTAACCAATGTGTCATTTGGGGGAAAGGCGCCCCGATCCTGAAAGGTTTACGTGCACAGAAGACTGTGGAGTGACATCGATGGAGCGTGCAGGGTGTGTCTCGCCCACAGTGGGGTATAGTCCACAGAAGCTATCTGCCCTGCTCACTGTGGCCTTGGCCTGGGACACACGGGCTGCTGTGCCACGTGAAGGGTCTGGCAGGAGCCCAGCCCTCCACAGGCACACCTGGCCTCTCCTGGCTGCCACTCCTTCTGCAGGAGAGTAACCTTGTGGGGTCAGTAGGGAGAGTCGGTCTCCTGGCTGTAAACATTCCTTCTGGAAAGTGGATATCAACTGAGTTAAGGTTAAAAGATTCGGATTCAAGGCTGTTTTGGAGCAGCTGGACGTTTGCATGGTCCCCACGTCCTCATGAGATGGGGCAGGGAAGAAATCCACCCCACGAATCAGTTCTCAGCGACAGTGCAGTGGGGTATAAACCTCACCGCTGATCCCATTGTGGTGTAGTCTTACTGATCACAGTTGTGTAGCGTAGCTTATGGAAACAAAACCATGAAAAAGAGTCAGGTTTTCTTTGACCAAATTAATTTGTCTCGCCTTAAAATTTAGTTATTTTATTTCTAGTTATGAACATTTAGAATGTTCTGGAAAGTATACGATAAAATATAGCAGCCACCCATATTCACTTGATCCAGATTTGAAAGAAATTAACATTGTGTCCTCTGTACTTCAAATCAAAACTCTTTTAGGAAACAGAATGCAACAAATACAATTAAAGTCAATCTCCATCCCTTCCCCGGGCCAGAAGCCACTGTCTAATGGTTCTGTGTTTAATCTCCTTGAGTTATACTTCTACTACTCTATATTTATTAAGAAAATATGTATTAGTTTCGGGCTTTAGTATTTACTTAGCATCAGAAAAGCTATATTTGATAGCATTATGCTTTTGAGATTTATGAAATATATATATAGTTTGTTCATTGAATTGCTATGCGATATTCTTTTTACGAATTTGTTTCCCAGAGCTGCCAAAACCAATGACCACAAACTGGGTGACTGAAGACAAGAGAAATTTGTCCTCTCAGAGTATCGGAGGCCTGAGGTCTTCGATGAAGGCGTCTGCAGGGCCACCCTCCTCCCGAGGACTTTGAAGGAGAGTCCTCTCTTGCCTTGTCCTAGTGCGTCTGGTGGTGCCCGCAGCCTTAGTGTAACTGCCTCGTTCCAACCCCTGCCCGTCTTCACACGGCCTTCTCTCCTGTGTGCCTCTCTCTGTGTCCACATTCCCCTCTTAGAAGGACGCCAGTCACTAGGTCGGCACCCACCCTCGTCCAGGATGCCTCATCTTAAGACAATTAGCTCTGGGAAGACCCTGTTTCTGAATAAAGGCACAGTCACAGGTTCTGGGTGTTAGGACTTGAACTATCTTTTTGGGGGGACAGAATTCAAGCCACAAGGATGAACGAATCGGGGTAACCCACTCTCCTCCTGATCGCCAATGAAATTGCTTCCAATCGTTGCTACCAAGAATGGAACTTCCATTCCCACTGCAGGTGTGCATGCGGGCACACGCACGAAGACGCATGCACACGCACACACACGCATGAGCGTGATTTCTCTAGGGAATGTACCAAGTGGCGGAGTTTCTCGGTTGCAGGGTGTCATCGTCATTGCTGGACCCTGGCAGAGACCTTTCCAGAGTTCATATCAGTTAAACCCCACGTGGGCACCATCTCTCGGTGTTAACAGACATTGCCAGCCCGCAAGATGTAAAATGGTGTCTCATTGTCTTTCTTTGTATGATTTCCTTGGACACCAGGGACCTCGAGTAGCTTTTCATGTGTTTATGGACCGTTCACATGGTAAATCCATCGCCTTTTGTAAATTGCCTGTTCGTGTCTTTGGTGCATTTTTCTGCTGGGGCCGTCTTTTTCTTGATTGATGAGAACTCCCCATATATTTTATCTAGCTTCGAAATCTTCTGCTTTGAGCATAACATGTTCTCGTCTGTGTTGTCTCGCTTTGTTTATGGAGCCGTTTACCTTATAGTTTTAAAACTTTCAATAAATATAGAAAAGTTTTTTGTTGCGGAAAATCTCAAGCATATGTATAAGTAGAGAGAGAAGCATGGAGGATGCTGGGGAGCTGGTCACCCCGTGACCACAACGCTCGTGTTCCCCTCCCATGGCCGTCAGCTGCCGGCCTATTTGGAGGCAAATCCTGGCCATCTGGACACTTTTTCTGCCTGTTCCTCTTTGGGTTCAGCGTTCCCAGGTTCTCCCTTCCGATGGCACCTCGACTTTTAAAAATTCATTCTGAGAATCTGTCTCCGGTGGTGGATTTAATCTGTTTCTCTTTCTTTGGATCTATTTCAGCCACATTACTTCTTGCTTTGTAGTTGATCGGTTTTATTTATTTTTGTCTTCTCCGTTCCCGCTTTCTGCTTGTTCGCTCAAGCTTGTTAGGCCCTGCCTCATTTCCACCCCTGCTGTGACCGCGGTTCGTGTTTATCTGGAGCGCTTCCACACGCGCAGTGAGCGCCTCATCAGTGGGTAGTGTTTTTTTTTTTTTTTGGCTTGGACTGTGAACGTCTTGCCATAAAGTAGATTTGCATCTGTTTCTGCCAGGTTCCCAGGGCCAATTGTGGTGTTAATTTCTCAGCCCAGGTTTTCCTACTTGGACAGGACAGTGTCAATTTTGATGTTAGTTTCTTTTTTCCCTTCCTGGGCTTCCTTACCATATTCCTAGTCCTGGTTGACCGTTTCCTTCCTTCCTTCCTTCCTTCCTTCCTTCCTTCCTTCCTTCCTTCCTTCCT